CTGATGCTATGTGTTACATTCTCGTTTGGAAGACCATACTTCTGGGTTGGCTGAATTTGTTATAGGAAATGATAATTTACAAAAGAAAAATTCAAAATTTAAAGAAAAAGAATAGTAACAAGCTGGTCCAGAAAGATTATAAATAAATATTAAAAAAAATTTTTTTTATTAAATGAAATAGAAAAAAATGCTTCTGATCTCTCATTTTTATAATTGGGGGGGCGTTTTCTGAATGAAGAAGATGAGCTGTCTTTTTTTTTTTTTCTTTGAGACAGAATCTCACTCTATGGCCCTAGGTGGAGTGCCATGGCATCATGACAGCTCACAGCAACCTCAACTCTTGGGCTCAAGCAATCCTCTTGTCTCAGTTTTTCTATTTTAGTAGAGACCAGGCATTGCTCTTGCTTGGGCTGGTCTTGAACTCCTGACCTCAGGTAATCTACCACCCCATCCTCCCAGAGTGCTAGGATTACAGGTGCAAGCCATTGTGGCTGGCCAGAAGATGAGCTGTCTTATATATATTGTTCTGGTTTTAGTGTCTTCATTTGTGTCCATCCATGCCTGGTGTTTTGGTAGTTGACACAGTTTCGTTTCTCTGCTTAGCTCAGCCTAACTGAGCAGTATAGCATTTTCCATAGCAGTAAACTGAAGTTTCCTTGGTGAGTAGAGAGCACAAATATCTGGGCATCATTTGCCACCAAGTTAGCTTAAGAAGCAGATGCTATGTGTTACATTGTTGCTTCCTTTGGAGTCATGGTGTCTGTCCTACTTTTTAAAGGTAACAGATAAAGCATTTAGGGGTCTGTATTCACACAATTAATATAATAGAAAGAAGAATTTCAGGTTAAGCCTTGGATAAGTGAGTACCTTGTCTCCTGTTATTAAATAGACATGCTTTCTCTCCAAAGAAAGAAAAGCTTCCATAATTTTATCTTCAGCATTTCCCTAACCTTTTCCCTACTCCTCTAGCCCCACACTGTTTAGCTGACCAGTATTTTTATTCTTGTTCTTTTTTCCTCTTATCTTTAACCAAGCTTCCTACCAAGGTTCTGACCTATTTAGAAATACCAAAATATGGGCGGCACCTATGCCTCACTGAGTAGGGCACTGGCCCCATATACTGAGGGTGGTGGGTTCGAACCTAGCCCCTGCCAAACTGCAACAAAAGATAGCTGGGTGTTGTGGTAGGTACCTGTAGTCCCAGCTACTTGGGAGGCTGAGGCAAGAGAACCGTGTAAGCCCAAGAGCTGGAGGTTGCAATGAGCTGTGACACGACGACAGTTTAGCGAGGGGAACAAAGTAAGACTCTTGTCTCTATAAAAAAAAAAAAAAAAA